AATCCATACACACATCAATTGTGTAAAGCGCATTTGTACATCATTATCAAAACATTTTCTCTCCACTTAAACCCCCGACATTAGGTCCTCATTTTTCCCCTCCCTCCCCGCTCCCCCCTCCCTCATGAGCACTTGATAGTTTATAAATTGGTATTTTGTCATATCTTGCCCTGTCTGACGTCTCCCTTCACCCACTTTTCAGTTGTCTGTCCCCCAGGGAGGAGGTCACACACAGTTCCTAGTAATCGGTTCCCTCTCTCCTACCCACTCTCCCTTTACCCTCCCTGTTTCGCCACTCACACCACTGGTCCTGTAGGGGTCATCCACCCTGGATTCCCTGGATTTTCAGTTCCTATCTGTACCAGTGTACATCCTCTGGTCTAGCTAGACTTGCAAGGTTGAATTCGAGTCATGGTAGTGGGAGCAGAGAGGAAACATTTAGGAACTAGAGGAAAGTTGTATTTCTCATCGTTGTTACATCGCACCCTGATGATAGTTCTGGGACTTAGATAAAGAAGCACTGGTAAGGAAGACCAGCCCCAGCACAAGCATGACATCGAGGATGAGGGCGTTGACAGAATATGTAATCTACATGTTATCATAGTGAAAACATGGCAAGTGGTATTGTTAGGCCACTTGTATTTAATATCTCATTAAGTTTATCCAAGTTGGACAGGTTTCAGCAGAGCTTCCAGAATAAAACAGATGAAAAAGAAAAAACTGAAATCTAATTCTGGAAATTTATAATGAGAACTTCATGGCTCACAATCGAATATTGTCAAACTCACTTGCTTTGGATATGCTATCACGACATAGCAATCTCTAGAGGGGAAATAGGGTTTCGGAAAGTAGAGGGCCAGTGAAGCTGAGAGAGACCTCACAAAAATGGTTTGGCCCAGTGGCTGCAACATGAACTTGAATATGCTAGCAATTTTAAAGCTGCTTCAAGACTTGCTAGGGCTTTGTTCAGTCATAAGAGGGTAAGATAATATTGCTATATAAGCATATAAAACTTTATTAAACATATCAAAATGTGACACTATGTTATCTCAATATAGCCTCCATAGTTAAATCATAGTTAAATAGTTAAATGTATTTGCAAAGATTCTGAGACTGCAATATGGGGGTAGATCCAAAGTTTTTCCACAAAGTAATAGAAAAGTCAATGATCAACATCTAAAATATGAAGCTATTATTTCTTGAAATATCTTACATCTAGGAATATTCTTCTTTGCTTCCAGCAAACATTGATTTGCTTTATTGTTCTGTGTGTCCCTGCAGATTTTTAGAGTTAGTTGTTTGACCACAATTCTCTGATGCACCTAAGAAGTATTGTTAATTTTCAGTTTTTGAATTTCTTTACATGGTAGGCAGGAAATTTAACATCCACTCCTACAATTTTTCAATATTCCCACAAATAATTCTGTGGTCATCAATTTATACAATGACAAGATGACAGTTGTGACATTCAAGAGGACCTTAAATTATATCCCTTTTATATGTTCTTTGAGTTGTATGAACAACAAGAATCCTGAAGGAGTTGTGGGTTGCATGAGAATGTGTCACATTGAAATCCTCATAGAGCAGCCTTTGCTACCCTTGACGAATGAGTACCTGTGGAGTTGTCGTGGAAAAAAATATTTCTTGGTGTCTTTCGTGGCCTTGTTCTCATCAATAGATTTAAAAATTTTCTTAAACTTCTTAATAATCCCCTATGATCATCCTGGGTTTTTGATAAAATCTATCAACTCTCGTGGAATCAAAAAACAGAGTCTTCCCCCTACCCCTCTTCCATGTCCCCCCAGAACTGTCAGTCCCATTGTTTTCTCCTCCAGATTGTTCGAAAGGAAGTGGTATTAACAAACCCAGGGACAAGGGAACAACAAGTGATCCAAATCCAAATCTGTGGTAAGGAGTGTGTAGGAGGCCTGGTAGGGTGTGTTTAAGGGTAATGTAACCGAGAGGAATAACTGAAACCCCAATGAAGGCTGTGCATGATAGTGGGACAAGAGGAAGGTAAAAGGAAATAGAGGAAAGAGCTAGGAGGCAAAGGGTCTAAATACAGGCATGTACATATGCAAATATATTTATATATGAGGATGTGGAAATAGAGCTATGTACATATATATATGGGTTCAGTATTAAGGTAGTAGATGGACATTGGGCCTCCACTCAAGTACTCCTTCAATGAAAGAACACTTTGCTCTATTAAACTGGCATTCCTTGAAGCTGACCAACCTGACACAATCAATGAAGTCAAAGCAGATGCATAAGCAAATGTGGTGAAGAAAGCTGATGGTGCCTGGCTATCAAAAGATATAGCATCTGGGGTCTTAAAGGCTTGAAGGTAAACAAGCGGCCATCTAGCTCAGAAGCAACCAAGCCCAAATGGAAGAAGCAGACCAGCCTGTGTGATCATGAGGCGTTGAAGGGATCAGGTATCAGGCATCATCAGAACAAAAATATCATATCATTGTGAATGAAGGGGAATGTGTAGTGGAGACCCAAAGCCCATCTCTAGGCAACTGGACACCCGCTTACAGAAGGGTCACGGGGAAGAGACGAGCCACTCAGGGTGCAGTGTAGCAACGATGAAACATACAACTTTTCTCTAGTTCTTAAATGATTCCTCCCCCCACTATCATGATCCCAGTTCTACCTTACAAATATGGCTAGGCCAGAGGATGTACAGTGGTACAGTTATGAACTGGAAACACAGGGAATCTAGGACATATGATCCATTCGGGACCAGTAGTGAGAGTGGCAATGCCAGGAGGGTAGAAGGAAGGTGGGGTAGAAAGGGGGTACCGATGATAAAGATCTACATATAACCTCCTCCCTGGGAGATGGACAATAGAAAAGTGAGTGAAAGGAGACGTCTGTGTAAGACATGACAACATAATAATTTATAAATTATCAAGGGTTCATGAGGGAGGGCGGAGTTGGGGGGGATTGAGGAGCTGATGCCAGGGGCTTACGTGGAGAACAAATATTTTGAGAATGATGAGGGCAATGAATGTACTCATGTGCTTCACACAATTTATGTATGCAAGGATTGTGATAAGAGTTGTATGTGCCACTAATAAAATGATTTACAAAACAGATTAAAAAAGCACGCAAACTTTTGAACTGATAACTCTGCCTTGAATTTAACTGGCCCAGTAGATTGCCTGAAAAGCCACTGTTTCATTTCAACATTTCCTCTTTGAAGGCACCCCAGTAAGACTAAGAGAAAAGATGACCTATTTATTTCCCTCTATGACCACATAGACTTGTTAAACCACGGTTAGTTTGAAATGAATCTGGGCATGAATGAACTGGAAGTCTAGTAGTAACACTTCTTCACTTAATCTCACCCATTTGAAATTGTCACGTCACAGTGGATTACACTATAACCACATGCAACATTAGTAATTCTGTTAAAAGCAGAAAGAAATGTGTGGATAAGCAGTAAGTGGAAAGTGGAGTCACCATCACTTTAAAGGCATTGTTGCCCAATTAATTCCAACATATTATGGATGTATAGGACAGAGTGGAATTGTCACATAGGATCTACCAGCTGTAGTCTTTACAGAATCATACTGTCACATATTTCCCATCTGAACAGTCGGTGGATTTGAGCCATTGAACTGTTGTTTGTGTGAGTAATTAACCACTGAAGCATCAGGGTTCCTTATCCTAGACTATAGAAACCAAGAAATAGGCATTCACTTCAGTTGTTGGAAATATATGAAGCAAAATATACACCAAGTCAGTAATTACTGACTGTACAATTCTTGGCATCCATTACATTCTTCAACATGTGTGACCATTCTTGCCCTCTTTTATCAAAATATTCCTCCTCCATTAATACAAACTCATTCTTCCTAAACTTCCTATCTACCTTTTTCAACTTACTGTTATTAGATCCCACATCAATAGTTCTTCTCTAATTATTCATCAGTTTATTGTACTATGATGGCTTGTGTATTGCAGTGATGTTGGAAACCATATCACTAGTATTTCAAATACCAGAAGGTTACCCAAACCACACACATTTCATCAGAAGTTTTAGAATAGGAACCAATGGGAAAGAAGGAATAGGAAGTCTATTTTTGAGAGAATAGTCACAGAACAATTTCTGAATGTCAACAGGACATTATCGGTTATAGTTCTAGAGGATGATTTTTTTTCAAATTGAAAGGCATTCAAAATATGACTCGGAAGAGTTACCTCCTCAAAGTGCAGCAGATCTTAATAGCTTGGATCGAGTAAAGCTTTTCATACTTTACTTGTTGATGGAATATGATTCAAAATGAAAAGAAGCAACTGCAAAAATCCAAAACTAATTGGAATGTGGAATGTACCAATTATGAACCTAGGAAGTCATAAAATATGGAATGCAATGCATACAGTGAAACATCAACAAAGCCTACATGGAAGAAGCACACCAACATCCATTATCCAAGAATTGTAAATAATATAATCCAATATGAAGGAGGGAATGGAATCAGACTTTAATCTTTGAAATTCTGGCTTGGAGAAGGCTCTGGATGACAGTGGAAGCCCAACATATTTTATAAGGGTCTATACATAGAATAAATCTCCAGTGATTTCCCTCTGACCATAATTAAGGAATGAGATTAGCCTGGTTATCAGAGATAGGGTACTGTAGAAACTATTGCAGTGGATTAAAACAAATAATCTGTCTTTCATGGTTAAAGCCTTTATTGATGTCTCCTTGAAAACACTTTGCGCTTGAGTGGATTTTTAATATTTTCTTGGTTTCTTTTATTTGCAGTTGGGATTTATTTTTGTTGTATGTTTTTATTGTTGGTAATCTTCTTGACTATCTGTTATGTATTTTACTATATTTCGTCAGTATATGAAACCCAGGATAGGTGAATCTATAGGGGCAATGAACAGATTCAGAGTTCCTGGGGGATAAGGTAGAGCATATAAGAAGGTAGTGGGGGCTAATAGAATCAGGAGCTACTATGATACGAGAAGGAAGATAATGTATACTTACCTGACAGGAGAGATACCATCATCACGAATGTGGTTTTCCCAGCGTGAGGCTTATCCATTACACTCTGGATGTGCTGACCCCTGCGATTTCCCCAAATGTGGAAAACTGGACTGCATAATTTGTGGTAGGCGGGGACTGGATTCGCGCTCTCCCCTGGGGGAAAAAAGGAAGAAAATGTACAGGGACTTACTTTGTTAGTGATTTTACAATACTTCTTGATATGTGCCAATGACTAATGATATAATGTCTCGATTATGCCTTAATAAAATGGTTTGGGGAAAAAAGATAAACATCATAGGTGTTAGTGAACTGATATTTACTGGTATTGACCATTTTGAATCAGATAATCTGGGCCAGGAATGACAAATTCAGGAGAAATAATGTCTTGTTGTAAAACATAAAACATAAAATTTCAAGTATCTATTGATACTATGCTGTGTGTGATAGGATGATAACTATAAGCCTATAAGAAAAACTAGTTAATACAACTATCATTCCAAATTATGGGTTAAGCCCTAAAGTTTATGATGGGGAAAGAAGAAGAAGAAGAAGAAGAAGAAGAAAAAGAAGCAGATCTCTGCCAAAATTTTAAGTCTTAAATTAGTGAAACAAGATGCATTGATACTTACTATTGATTAGAATGCAAAAGTTTGAAACAAAAAGGAAGGATCAGTAATTTGGAAAATATGATTTTAATAATAGCAACAAAGCTGAGATATTATGATAGGAATTCACAAGACCTTCAACTTTGGCTGTTATCAGGAGAGACTAGTCTCTAGAAAAGAATATCACACTTGGTAACATAATGAGTCAACAATGAAAAAGATCCGGCATGGTGGATTGAGTCAGTGGTTGCATCAAGAGGCTTGAGCGTAGGAGTAATTGTGAGAATGGCCATTAGTAAAAGTTGATTTGTTCTGCTCTGGATAGGGTTGCAATTATTATGGTCCAACTTGATGATACCTAACAACAACAAAAACAGCAATGATACAGTCCATTGTGGCAGCACAGATTCTATAACATACCACAGGAATTCAAGATGGTATTATGGGTGAACAAATGAGCCGGGTAAGTGGAGGCATTCAGGAACTCTCTTACTAGCTAAATTTCTATTTCTGTAAACCCGAAACTGCTTTACAAGGAATGAAATCTCTTTCTTAAAAAAAAAGTAATCACCTTTTAAAAATATATTGGAGTTTATAAATTCTTATTGCTTTGTTGTGTAAATTTGGTCACTCACTAATGTTCAGTTCACCACTAAGAAAATATGGAGAGCTTTATACCATTCTTGCAGTTTGGCCACCTTTGTCTGTTCACATAGCACTATCTCGATTTGTATTAGGGGGAAATGAATCTGATAAGTTTCAGAAGCTTATTACTACCATTAGCATTAAGTCACTGTGGCAGTTAATTAATCTAGTTATGGCTTTATGTTCAACTCTAATTTTATTTTCCCATATATGAACTTCTGTCTATGCAGGATCAGATGAAAGGCAGGCACAAAGGCCTAAGCTCCTCTCTCTACAGATTTTTTTTGTTGTTGCAACAGTGTTACCACGTATAAAACCAAAGCCTAAAATGGGCCTTGCTTGCTATTAATAGAGATAGACCAATCTACTGGCCTAATATCATGTTTTAATGCTGCCTTCTAGTTCTCTGCATGCCAGGACTGATAAGCCTACACGCACTTTCATTCATTTCTATTAACATGAACAACAGAGTCAGAAAATAGGAATAGAAAAGGAAATGTGTGACAAATTGTATCCATGAACAACTGTCTCTTTTCCCTGATGAACTAGAAGAAGTAGATGGTGCCTATTATTGTCGGATGTTTTAATCACATATTCTATAGAAGAGTCATGATCAAAAGAAGTCAAAATGTAGAAGAGATTCTCAAATTCTCATGGAAATCTGTTTTTTTTTTTCTTTATGGCACAATTTAGGCTGAATGATTCCTCGAAAGTACCAGAATATCCTCTGAAGTGCAACCCAAATACTAGTTCAGCTCAGTTACCAAGGAATGTCTCCCTTGCACATGTGCTCTTTTGAAGAACTAGCTGTTGCTGTTCTTCGGTGCGTTTGAGTTGACTCACAGTAGAAGGAAGCCCTGCCTGGTTTATGTCATCTCACAATTGTTGCTCTATTGTATTTTTAGCCAACTGTTGCAGTTGCTGTGTCAAGGAATTCCTTTAATTTTGTTATCTCACTACCAAGCTCTTTTCCAAGGACTGGTCTTTCTTAAAAACATGCTCATAGTATCTGAGACTACATCTTGCCACCTTTGCTTCTTAGGGACAGTCTAGTTGTACTTCCTACAAAATTGACTTTTGTTCCCTGGCAGTTCCTACTTTCAATATTCTTTGCCAGCATCATGATTCAAGTACACCAATTCGCCTTCGGTATTCCATATTCAATGTCCAATTTTCACAGGAGGTGATTGAAAAGACCATGGCTTGGGCCAGGAGCAGCTTACTCCTCAAAGTGACAACTTCGCTTTTCAACAGCTTAAAGAGCTCCATTACAGCAGATTTGCCCAGGACAATATGCCATTTGAGTTCTTACTGTTGCTTTCATGGTCATTAATTGTGTATCAAAATAAAAGGAAATCACTGATAACTTCAATATTTTCTTTGCTTATCATGATGCTGTTTATTTGTCAAATTGTGATGATTTTTGGTTTTCTTTATGTTGAGTTGCAATTATGTTGAGCCTGTAAGCTTTGATTTTCAGAGTAAAAGTTTAACTTCTAGTCTTCCTGTTTTCAGCAAACAATACTTTTTGTCTTCTGCATATCAAAGGATAAGCCCTCCTCCAATCCTGATTTCAAGTTCTTCTTCTATACTCCAATTTCTTAAATGATTTGCTCAAAATAGAGACTTAAAAAGCATGGTGAAAGAAGACAATTTTGATACACACCTTTCCTGATTTGGATTCATGAATCTTCCTTGCTCTGTTTGAATGACTGCCACGTGATTCATTTACAGGCTCTGTAATTTTGTGTTCTGGAATTCCAGTGTTTCCCAATGCTTTCGATAGTTTATTATGAACCACTCATAATAATGTTTATTATCCATAGTTTATTATGAACCACTCTTGAATGTATTTGCATGGTCATTTAAAAAATAAGTAAATGTCTTTCTGGAATTTTCTGTTTTCATCCAAGATCCATGTGATATTAGTAATGATATCTCTCATGCTATGTCCTCTTATGAATATGTCTTTCATTTATAGAATCTTTCTGTCAATATACTACTGCAACAGTTTTAAAATTATCTGCAACTAATTTTACTTGCATACAATATTAATGATATTTTTCCATCATTTCCAGATCTAGTGGAGACAACTTTCTTTATAATTGGCACAAACATGAATCTTTTCCAGACAGGTAGATTTCTTCCAAATTTCTTGGCATAGAAGAGTGAGTGCTTCCACTACTTTGCCAGTTTGTTGAAAACATTACAATTGATAATCCCTTCAATTCATGGAGTCTTGTTTTCTACTACTGTCTTCAGTGTTTCTCAAACTTTCTTCAGTTTAATTGATTCTTGATCATATGCTACCTCTTGAAATTATTGAGCTTTGGCCAATTATTTTGACACAGTGAATCTGTGTCTTCCTTCAGTCTTCGTTTGATGCTTCCTGCATCAATCAGTATTCTATTCAAGGAATCCTTTAATATTTAAATCTAAGACTTAATTTTTCTTCTTTCAGCTGAAGCTATGGTGACCATGTTCTATTATATTATTATTAATGATATTCCATTGCTTGAATTTGGGCCCACTCTTTGAGATTCAAACTGGATTCTCCCTGTGTTAGACAGGGTTCTCTAGAGAGATAAAACCAAATTGCTGATAATTTAATATATTTATTTATAAATATAATTAGATATAT